TAAAGTACAATTTGCAACTTTTACATTTTGTCTCGCGTATTTAAGTGCCCAATGAGAAACGAATTTCAGCTCACGTGGAAAATGATTTGTGTGAGGTAGTTCGTCTTTTTTTTTCACATATGATGCATTCTAGATTTTTTTTCATCTAATATTAAATCATCTATGTACCTTATATAATTCCACTGAGGTTCGTCGAAGATATAAGGTAAAATTTTTTCTTTTTCAAGCGAGTGAAGAGCAGTATGCTTGTTCTTTATGTGTTCCAAAAATTGTGTATGTGTGATATATGGTATTTTGTGTTCGCAAAATTTACATTGTGCTCGAAAATTTTCAACATTTATATAACATTTTTTCAACCAGATCCATTGTACAGTCCTTATTATTGTACCCCATAATAGGTTTTCTTCGGCTATTTTATCCATGTATTTTTTATGTTTATCTGCATGTTCTTTTAAATTAATAATTCTTGCCCTAAATGTTACATTTTTATCACAAAATGTACATGTCACATTATCTGCGTTTTGTCTTGCGTATTTAAAAGTCCAATTTTATATTTACCTGGTTTTAGATCGCATATAAAATGATAATGTACATGATTTTCTGCTTCGTCATATGGTATCGTTTTATCACATTCCATACATTGTACTTTATCTGTTGAATTTGGTTCCGTAAACCTTAAATATTGCCAGGGGACGCTACCTGCCTTCATTTTAGTGACTTCAGCGTTGTGAATTACTTTATGTTCCTTGTTCATATGATTCTGAATGGGTTCACTCTTGACATATGCAAGTATTTTGTTGCAAAATTTACATTCTGTTAGACAATCCACAGGCTTTCTATAACATTTAATCAACCAATAGTTGTTTTCAATATGAAATTCCCAAGATTGTTTATATCGTTCCTCTATTAAGTGGCTTTTTTCGTTATGTTTTTCTGAGATGTGTTGTTTCATTTTTATAATGTATGCAGTAAATTCTATTTTTGTATCATTTGTACAAAGCTTACATGTAGCAGAAAAATCTCCACTTTGTGTCAAATATTTCCAACCCCAAGTTTCATTTTGACGTCCTAAATCTCGTTCTAGTTTTGAATGCTTTTTTACGTGTTCCAATAAGTTTTCATTTTGTGAAAATTTAATTGGGGTATCACTTATATCACATATAATACATGCTTTGTTTTCTTCTGTTGTTAGTCTAAAATATTTCCACTCCATGTTATCCATCTCATTCTCTTCATGATGATAACAATCTAAATGCGCCTCAAATACGTGCTTCTTAAATTCAGAATATTTTTTAAACTCCACGTATTTTAAAATTGCTTTACAAGATGGTTCTCGACACTGTACTCGAAAATTGGCCGTTTTAGTAAAACATTTCTCTACCCAGGGGTGCCTTTTTTGAATTCGCTCTTCAAAACTCATTGTGATGTGATCTGTATGATAGAACGTATTCAACTGAACACGATGCGAGCATTACTTCGTTGAAAAGTGTCTGATAGAGGAGATCGAGGAAAGAGACGTACAGTTTTTCTGTTTGTATGTAAATACTGACAGCCTTCAAACCTACCTAACAGTTATCAAGACAAGCGGTAGGATCCGATGCGAAATATATATAGTAAACGATTTCGGGGGAGCAAGAGCGCTCTTGCGCGTGATAGAGTGAGAGAGTGGTGGGA